TCCATTTTGTTCTTCATCGCGACAGTGACTGCAGTGACGTGCTCTGCAGCGTTGCCAACGATGGGAAGAATGATAAGACCGATGAACGCTTGGCTGATACCAGAACTCTCAACCATGGGCTCAATAGCTTCACTCATGAAGTCGGCGCAGACAGCAACGAGACCAGTACTGATCAGAAGCATGAAGATAGCAGCTTTGATGGACATGTCAGGTGCTTCATCGTCTTCGTCATCCTCGTTGAGGGCCATGGCGGCCTGTGGAGAGACAGCAGGATGTTTGACTGCGTTGCCGGTGGAGTCGGCGCGGCCAATTTGATCCGGGAGGGACTTGGATCGGCGAAGGGGTGCACGCAGAGCTGTGTTGTCGCGAGGTGCTGCCATACGAATATTGGGCGCGGGACCGCCAAGTGGAGCGAGGTTCTGAGGGTTCGAGAAGACATTGTTGGAGAGTAGCGAAGGAAGAGCAGGCCGGTTGTATCTGCGAGGGTTCGAATTCATGGTAGTGGCACTGTCGTTCTGTACTTCCTCGGCGAAGGTAACCTTGGGCGTAGGCTCATTCGGCACGACCTCCTTTTCGGGAATGGTGTCGACCTTGTTGCGATCACGTCGGTCCTTCTTGCTCTTCTTGTGCCTACGTTTTTCTTTCTTCGTCACGGAGCGCGAAGTTTGCGAAGCGGCTTCGAAGTCACGAACGACTGGGACGTATTGATCGTTATCGGCCTCGTCACCACTCATGACATCGAATGAGTGTCGGCGAGAAGTGATAGGAGCTGCGTTGTTAGCAGTGGCGACGCTGTTGGTTCTCTCCGAATCGAAAGGGCTCTGATGTAGCTCACCCTCTGGCGAATTGAGGGCCGAGAGCGCATCTGCGTCTTTGGAGCTAGCGCTGGACTTGCGGCGAAGCCTCTTCACCATACGCTTGGCCTTCTTCTTCATGGTGCCATCAGAGTTCTTGGAGGAGCTGTCGCTGTCGCTACTGCTGGAGCTAGATGAAGAGTCGGAGCTGGATGAGTCGAAAGCACCGGCAAGGACACCGGGATGTGACTCTTCGTCAATGATATGTTGGGGAGTGCTAGCGTAGAGATAACGATGACTTTTGAGCTGGAAGACGAGGTACAGGCCGTAGACAAGTAGGAGGATGACACTGGTTCCACGACTGACGGACAATGTCTCGTGGTCGGCGATGGCGTTGTTCTCGAAAGCAGCGTGGAAGGCAGTGGGTAGCAGAAGGCTCATTACGGCAAGGGCCAGCATAACACCGCTCATCTGAGTGACGGTATTGTTGTAGACCTGCTCCTGGTACTTCAAACCACCGAGTAAGAATGCCATGCCCAAAATGAGAAGCAGGTTGGCGAGAATGGATCCAAGTAGAGACGCTTGCACGACCTCGATCTGGTCAGAGGCGAGCAAGATGATGAAGAGAATCAACTCGACAGCGTTTCCAAAGGATACGTTAAGCAGTGCACCGAGCGCATCTCCAACACGGGCAGCGACAACTTCGGTCGCGTGCGCGAGCAGGCCAGCCAGCGGAATGATGGCGATGGCGTTCATGGAGAAGACGATTTCGGGCTTCAGGTGCACAAGCTTGACTACAATGCCAAGAGGCACGAAGACGAGCAGGAGGTTGATCCAGCTGTGTGTGATGGCATTCTTGGTGTGGGATATGAATCGGAGGCTTCCGTTCTTGATGCGCACGAGCGAGTAGAACGGACGCTTCTCGGATCCTATGGCGGGAGGCGTCGTTCCATCGGGCGCGGTATTGACGCTGCCATTGTCGATGTCTGTGGAGCTATTATCGCTGACAACGGGCTTCTCGCTGTGGTCGCTGGTGCCATGTGCACTACGCGACGGGTTGCTGCCATCTAGGCCAGGATGGGCGGTCGTGTGGGGGTTGTGGGTCGGAAGGACGTCGGTCTGCGTGTCTTTCTTGCGTCCCAAGCCAAGTGCAGATGCTGCCTTAGACTTGAAGCTGCGTATAGAGGGGTCGTCGGGTTCTCCCATCGGTTTTGGTGTTGTAGAGTTTGGGGGTGGTTGAGTACAAGAATGTACTTGGGGCGGTAGTAGAAGTGTGGCCAAGTAAGTGAGGCGCGGCCACCGCCTTCCTTATCAATGCTCGGCAAGCTTGACCCGGCTTGGTACGTGCTTAGTATGCAGGTGGATACCGAAAGTCGAGCGAATGACGTCGATCAGCCAGATTGGCTGCTACACGTGGACGGCGCGCACAGCCTCAGTGGCGCGCTATGGCTTGCTCAGGTTCCTGTTTGCGCGCGGCGAGTCTAGAAGGTGGCTGAAAGATGCAATCATCAAACGCATCCTTCATAGAGTCTCTATGTCGTGACATGAAATTGATGAAACTCAGATGGGAAGGTGCGCCTACCACGCGTTATCGTAGCATCCCTGACACGTTCTGGGAATTGGAAAGCGCGAGGCGACGACTAGGAAGCCGCCAACGTCGGCTTTTCCCCGCACGGTCATCATCATCAATACAGACGCCGCTGATCGTTGACATCAATCACAGAGCGCCGCGCCTCCTGACATCCACTCTGCCATCAGAACGTGCAGGCTCCCAATCTAGACTGCACACGACGCCTCACGATGCAGGGATCATGCCGAGACGGATAGCCTCGCCAACGCAGACCGTTTGTCACCTCCCTTATCCCCGAACGCTTAGCGTTCTTGTACTACCTGGGCATGCAACAACAAAAGCTTGAGGTATTCCTTGGAGCTATTACTATCAGTTTTATTATGCCTCAACTGACGCCATTTTTGCAATGTAGACAATTGACTTCTTCAATAGGAACCTGTTGATTCGTAATATCTGGTTGTGGGTCTCGCTACCATGAAGACCCTCTGGTAGTTCACTTGGAAGACATAGTCGCTCTGGCGATACTACTTGAAATACCAGTCCACATGGCATCTCTGTGGACATCTTTTCGAGTGCAAGATCAAAGGTTGAAAGCTGATCGCAGCAATAACGCGTCAATCCTGCACTTGGAGTCAGATGACTACGCGACTTGATACCCATGGATTGCAAACGCGCAAATTGCTTGGCAGCGCAGCGATGAGTACAACTCAGTCGCAAAGCCTTGCACCATGAGCTTTCCACCTTCGGATACCATCATGAACTTACTTGATCTCCCAGCAGAAATTTTCGCTGCTATCATACACAACTACCTGAACGACTACCTGTATAATGGCCGCGGATGGGCTATGGCAGTTCGCGTACGATATGTCTGCAAAGCGTTCGCGGTTGCAATACACGACGATATGTTTGGTCGATACTCCGCAAGTTTCTACCGCAGCTTCAGTGACGACCGCAAGCAGCGTCTACTGGCACCAAATATGTACACTGTCCTCTCCAAGATGGGCCCCACCCGCTGCCGCTCGACGTACATTCTTGATCACATGGAAGCCACGGTCAATTTTCTCATGGAATTTTCATATTATCAATCGCAAGCGCAGCGCGAACGCTACCGCCTGGCCCTCTGTAACGCCATGTTAGCGGCACTCTCGGTAGACGACATTCTCGCATATCTCTGCCGGGGACCATTCGATGACTCGGTCAAGGTCAGGAAGAATATGGGCCGCGCAGATACGGTGGGAATGCTCGCTGCTGCCGCTGCTGTCAATAGTGAACCTGCCCTTCGTTTCCTTGTTGGCAAGGTATACGACGTAGGTCTACGTAGCGAGCTGTACGGCACGCCGCTCACCGCCGCCGCCGTCAATGGGCATCTTTACTCCGCTTCTTTCATTTACGAACGTATGAAAAAGGGATTCTACAAGCGCAAACAACTGCACAACTCGATCAACGCATGCATGTTCGAGCAGCGTACTACTATACTTCCAACACTCATGTCCTGGTACCTGAAGTATTGCTACTCTGGAAAATTGATCAGGGAAGCAAAGCGGGGCTGGATCGACTGGGCAGTTCGGAATGGTGAAATGGGCGTACTACGATTCAGTTACTATCCTGAGGATGCAATCAATTACATACGCCGATTGGAGCCAACGCCCTTCCACTCAGCCTGTCGATACGGCCACGCGCACATCATCCAATACCTGCTCCAAGTCGATCCCTCCCTGAAATACGCAAATCGTAATCATGAAAAGGGTTATATCGGCTCTAACCAACTATGGGAGGGTCTTACAGTGGCGGTGGAGAATGGCTGGCTTGTGGCTACCAGGCTGCTCATCCGCAGTGGTGTACAGATCACACAAGCAAAGGAAGGCTACTTCCCATCTACACCAGTGCTGTGGTATGCACTCAAGGGAGGACATATCGATATGGTGGTGCTATTGCTGGCTTATGGTGCTGTGGTGCCGAAGAGGAGCTCTGAGCGCAATGGCATTTGGAATCTGGCTGCGAACCACAGTGTGAAGACGGCAAGACTGCTTCAGGACATTTGGGATGAGCAAGAAAGATGCAAGTGAAGGTTAAGGTTGATGGTATACACTAGTGGGTGTGCGCGTTCGTCATCCTATAAGCATGCGACTCGCCTTAGCAGCCGCCCTTTGTGATGTAGCCAAAAAGGTGCATGTAGGATACAGCAGAAAGTCAGCTCCAGATAAGTATCATGCAATAATCTGTCCTGTGAGCTTGTACTGAGATGATTTACCGTGAGTTGGCTGCGATGTATGTGTAGCAGTCACGCCCGCCCATTAGCCCAGCCCGATGCACGCTGTAGATCCACCCGTGGACGCCACGGAAAGGCCCCACATCCCGCGTCGTCACGTCTCTTCCGCGCCGCCGCCACGCGTCACAGCGTACGACGTACCCTCCTGCCTCTAACTTCGCTTCCTGCCCAACTGGCTGTAAAGGCAACAGGATCATATGATACTTAGGTTTTTGTAGCGATCCCGCAATTAGCGACATCGTAACCGCGCATTCGTAATCCTCTAAAGAACCACCAACCTCCCTAGCATATCGCAATCAGCATCTTACTTACCCTCATCACTCACTCTACCTAGCCCAGCCCTCTCAAGATGGGTCGCTGGACAGACATGGACAGCGTAACCTCCCTTGTACACCTCCTGCCAAACCAGACCACTAACACAACCCCCAGGACGCCGAGCGCCTCCCCTCCGGCTTCGAGCGCATAGGCTACGACGCCGACACCCAAACCTACACCTTCCGCGACGCATCCGGTTGCATCTACGAATCCGAGCCCGGAAACCGATACAGCGAGCTGCGTGCCACGGGCGAGCACTCGCAGCCCCCGTCCGACGAGCAGCGACGCGAGCAGGATGAGATGATAGAAGAGGGCAATAAGAGTGCTGTGCGTATGATGTTGCCGTTTGCGCTGTTGGTGCTGGTTTTCTTGTTCCTGGTGTTTAAGCTTGTGAATAGGAGTGATGGGGCTGATACAGTTGTTGCTGGCTGTGGGGATGGGGAGCGCCAGTTGCGGGTTGAGAAGGGGGATACGTGTTGGGCGATTGCGGAGGCGAATGGGTTGAGTGTTGATGGTCTGCTGGGGTTACGAGGGAATCAGGGTGTGGATTGTGGGAATCTCAGGGTAGGGCAGGGCATCTGTGTACCGACGTCGAAGTAAGGGTGGTCCTCTGTCGCTACTCCAGCCTGCTTTACCTACCCATAAGGATATCAGGAAATGGAAAAGAGCATAGTAAGAGGAGGAAGTGGTCACCGCATTTCTCTAGGTCACGATGCTGCAGACTTGGTCACCCATCAACCACCGATGAAGAGTTTCTTCTTACCGACGCCGTGATTTGTTCACGAAGGACCAGGCAACAATCCCAATAATCCATTCAGAGGCACCCAACCCTTTTGGAAGACCACCACGAGGATACCAGGAGTAAAAGCAAAGTCTCAATGGCCCCTGAGATGCATGCACAAAGCGACTCAGAGAAGATCAATGTCAATGTGTTAGACCAAGCCCACAGGAGCTCACGCGCTATCCCCAAGTCGAATGTCGCGTTATGAGCGGCTTGGAAGTTCTGAGCGGATTTCTCGACTCCGACTAGATGCAAAAAGCGCATGATCGTAGCTTCAGGCGTCCTGCGCTGAGAATCGCTTTGCGATTACTGATATGAAGACATCTCTTCATAACGATATTCATGTGCATAGCCCGTATGCTCCACTAAACCGATGCGCCGAGAATTACAGAAATTGAACTTGATATGGTGTTCAAGCCGCGGAACCGGTAAATCGGCGTAAGTCTGAACGTTGTTGACACCTACGCGACACTCAATGTCCTCCCATCCAGGCAGAAATTGCGCTAATGTAACCTCCAGGGTCCAGAAGTCAATTGGTAGAATGCTACCTGGCCATCAGGTTGGTGCAAAAGTCTGCAGGTCCGCCTCGTGGAGATATAGCCTATACTGGTAAAACCCGGCTCGTTTATTCACATCCTTGCTCTTCAGCCTCTCGTAGCGTCGGTTCTTCCCGCATTAAGCAGGTCTCTCGTGTTTACACATTTAAGATTCGGTTATAGCGGATTGGAAAGGATTCTGGGTGGAGGCTACTCCACCAGGGCGTAATTTGGCCCACAGCTACACCTTGGTGTAATGAACTATCTTACGCCCGATACTTGGCTGAGAAACATTCATCGGAGAACAAGTCTTTTTCTAATCCTACAGCTCCAGTTCTCCCGTACGCCTACGATTAGCGTAATCCTTCACAAGAGATGACCGTTCGCGGATTGGCTCATACTTCCCGCAATCTACATCTTCCCGTGTAGGATCACGACCAGGCAGGATTCCAGCCTTGCTCTTACGAAGGTCGATATGCGCGCAACCCGAGTGAAAGAAAGGTAAAAACAGCACGTTCCAGTCGCAGTCAGTCGCATGACGTATAAAGCCAGCAGCTTTTCTTCTTTGTTACATTCCTCTTTATCCTCATCAAGTCAATAACAACAACAACACCACCACACTCGAATTTGCCTCTCTTCTCATCAAACTCTTCACGATGAAGCTCTCTATTCCTCTCATCGCTTTGGCTTCGGCCACCAGCACCATGGCCGGCTGCTATGGCAGCGGCAAGCCCTACCTCAACGACTGCAACAAGAATTCGTTCCTTGATGCTGCTGACGACCTGTGTAAATCGTTAACCCTCGCGGGATATTTCAACTATCGCCAAACGAAGAAAGCATGCGCCCCGGCCAGGTGCAATGGCATCAAGATGAACTACGAAGTGGGATGGAAGGGTAGCAGCGGAGGACATACCTTGGCTGTAGAAGACTGCAAAAGGCGTCTTAAAGAAAACATCAACAACTGTCCATTGGGCGGCACTCAGACGGTCGCTGACTGGTTTTTCAAGTAAGTGGCTGTACACATGGCGCGAACTGTGCGATGAGGACGAGAGCTAACGCCGTGGGATTATAGGTCTGACCCTAATGACGGTGGCTGCTGATCGAACCAATTTGGTTGGTTCAACAGTGTCGAAGAAGTTGTGATTGGGATCTGTGAAGGCGGGAAAGTGAAGGGCGATATACCAGCGACACAGCGTACCGACATTGGATAGATGATTAATGAACAAGGATACTTGCCGACTTGACTTCTGTGCTCTGTTGATTTCCTCCCCATACGTCGAGTTTTGAACCGCAGCCCGCCCAGGTTGCGTTCCTGAAGTGATGTTGCAGTCAGAGTGACTAAGGAGCAGCTGACGCAGGGTGGCAAGGAAAGCCCAGGTTAGGCGTCCTATTAGCTCAATTTGACACCTTTCAGGTTAGCTTCGGTCGCGACGGCTCCACTGCGGGCTGTCCCTCCAAAGTCACATCAGTCGACAAACCTCATTCCTCAACGCGCCCAACACCATCATCAGCGCATTCAACTAGAAGCGCGCATGAGCCCAGATTTCTCTTTCATCATTTCGATTATATTCCGTGATCTACTCAGGTTACCGTGTAGTAGGCAAAGGCCTCGTTTCTGGATCCCGCGAATCTGGCCACACCTGGGCATATGTCCATCGTTCCTTCGTCTACCTGCAGCCGACTTCTCCACAGCCATTTTACCCGTATCCACCATATGGATGTATGAGTCTGTTTGCTAGATTACTACTGGTAAGCATGGAACGTTAAAGTAATACGAAATAATTAATCCAGATACACCGTCTCTTGAGACTGAATTGCTCTGAGCAAAGAAAAGCGAAACTTACCGAGTTTTGAGAGACAGATCTATTTCGGGCCTTGCATACCGACATCGAGTCCAGGATCGGCGCCGTGATCAACCAACAACTTGAAGATATCGAAACGGCTTTGTTGAGCGGCGAGGCGCAGAGAAGTTGACAGACCCTTAGCATTGGGGCGTAGGCGATCAGAATTTGCGCTGGCCGCCATGACGCGCTCAAGTGCATTCAAGTCTCCTCTCCTTACCGCAGTGTTGATCAAACCGTGGAATTGAGCGCGCTCTGTCCATTCGGATGAGTCCATGTTGCTGCGGTCAAACAGGCCGGCATCCAACAAGAAGGATACGAGAACACGGAAGAGCTGAGGATCGAAACGATGGCGTCTGCCATATCCATATACGTAGGAATGCGGGTCGGCTATCGTGAGGAAGCTCCGTCTGAATTCTTTTCGCATACTTGGCGTGGACAGTGCAATCAGCCTTCCCAGGAAGCCCATCAATTCAGATGCACAGGCTTCTTCGAACCAGTCCCTGAGGTAGCGTATCTCCTTGTGCTTGGCATTTGAGATGTACCATTCCAGCAAAACCAGCGCGATGGGCTCATTGCTCCGGATAGCATGCATAATGCCGCTTACGACCGTCATGGTTTGTACTTTCATGATCTGGCTCACAGTTGATCGCTGAGTATGAGATAGTAGTACCTCAACAAGATCGAGGTCATCGTTTTGCACGGCCAACTCCAGCGCACAACCCAGCTCAGATCCTGTCGAGCACTTTGTCCACATGGCACCCTGCTCGGTAGTAAGTGCGCAGACAGTGTCCCTCTTTCCCATGATGACTGCGACACTCAAAGCCTCTTGACGCCCCGATGACGACATGACCCTGCTCCTCCTTTTGTCACCCGGCTTATAGGCGAGCTTGCAGATATTCGGGGTTTTGATCAGAGCGCCGATTACACCGCGGACCCAAATCGAGCGCTTTTCAGGCGAGGTATCACCGCTGACGTTAACGAGAACGTCGACAATCTTGTTGATATGCGTGGGGAGAACGTCATTGGCGCCGTACAGTGCGAGCACTCGGTGCTCGAGGAAGGGTCTGAGTATGTTTCGCAAAAATGCCGACTCGCGCTTACCCAGGTTCCAATAGGCTGAGGCAGGCTGCTTGGCAAGCACCTCTGTTCTGATGTGCTCGCAGAAAGTTCCTGTAGTCGTCAGCAATGCTATGCGTCATCAGTGGTGACATAATCGATTACTGCACACACTGCGACGAAGCCAGGCTCGTCGGATACCGTCCACCTTGACATAGTGCGCTATGACAGACTCGAAGATTTCGGTTGGAAGATCGAGTAGCTCCATGGCGGGATACGTTCGGTTGCGAAATGGTGTAGTTGCAGCAATGGCGAGGGTCGTGACAAAAGATTTGCTGACTTGCCGACCTCGTATGTGTCGAGGCACAGACCCGCAAGCACGAGACACTGCAGCTCGTGGTATTTAGAGTCTCGGTAATGGTGAGTGATCAAAAGAGAAAGCGGGGTGTACTTTGACCAGGTCAATGCATTCACTGACGTCGAGACGCTAGGTAAGATTAAGGTCTAAGATCCTTGTCATGGGTTTAGGCTACGTAGAGACCCTATTATATCAATCCCCACACCCCCGTGCGGACATCACTAGTAAACGCTCATACGACTGAACTTCCCGCAGCCCCATCTTTATCATCACATTCTACTCTTTTTCCAACAAGCCGCGAATGTGAAGATCGACCAAACTCAACAATTGTTGTGCGAAGCTGTAGATCAGGTCATTAGTCCGTTCAACATTTCTAGAGAGAGTTTTTGTGAGAGAGCTTACCTTTGGCAAAGAATGCGTAAGTGTCCGCGTTGTTGAGGTTATCCGTGGAGTTGAGCGTGATAAAGTTATCGTATCCGTATTTGACATCTCCGACGCTGAACAGTGCATGAGAGAGCTCATGCGTCATCGTCTTGGTCTTGTCGCCTTCATGACATTCTGGATGATCAATCTGGTACCACGCATCGAACCAAAAGGGGCAGAACCTGACGTGGAGTTCCTCGCCAGCCCACACAGTCATCCCCAATACACCCGGTCCACAGCCGTCGAGGTTGTTGCAGAAGATCTTGACGCGACCCTCGTTCATGTTGCGACATTCAGATCCCATCGCGAGAAAGCCGTCGTTGAGCTTCTTGCGAATCTGCTCAGTGTCGTCCTTGAAGAACTCCATGATCCTCGTGTGATTGCCAGCGTCGGAAAGCGAGTTCTGCCAGGCGGAGTAGGCGCGATCTGAGCACAGACTGCGACATTGGTCTAGAATGTCGTACTGTTCGTGGGTGCAACCGCCTTGGAGGTTGAATTCCGCATTCCATACGCTCGAAAGCCAAGTCTGACGGGTCGCGGCTGCTTCAGATCCATCGATGTTGACGGTAAGAGTGTTGGAGACGAAGGAGATGGTCTCTACGACCGATGATCCAGAGGTCGCATAGAGGAAGGTGCCCTGCGACACCAAATCGACCATACCGCCAGCGCCAAGATCGTAAACGTGGGCGATATCGAAGTGCTTGTCGACTGTCTCTGAGGGTGACAAAGTCTGGAATGATGAGTCTGCAAGCGCAGTGAGGTCGATGTCAACGTGAATACCGTAGAAAGGGAGCTTGTTGCCTGTACAATACATTAGTGTCTGCTCCGCCGTGCATCGGAAGCGACCTACCATCTTTCACAACAGTAACCTTGTTGACGGCCAAGTCGCTTAGAAGACCATCAACTTTGACTAGGCGCAAAGGCTCGGATCCGGTGTTCTTGATTGAGATCTTGACATTGGTGTTGCCCGCCATTTCCAAGTTGACTTGGACTTGAGGCGAAGAGGACGCCGAATTTGATGTACTTGGAAGAGCTAGAGTACCAGTAGCCAACGCGAACGCTGCAAATAAGCTAGAGTAGAGGAACTTCATCGCTTCTAGCCGTTCAATCGGTTGAGCTGAGGTATACGGGAGACGAAGTCCAGGATATGGTAGTATAATCTATACAGCACAAAGATATGACAGGAAGGATACGGGAGAAAGAAGGAGTCAAAGGTTGTAAAGGAGGAATATATAATACAGGGGAGACGATCTACCAAAGGGGTGAGGCGAGAGAGGGATCTCGTGATTGACCCAGGGGCTAACGTCCACCTGACGACCTTTACGCGGACTTTTTATCCTTTACAGATGAGATTATACCGTTATTTATCCATAAATAATACCCAATATAAGCTAATTGCAAAGCCGTTTGACCTGTGTGTGGTAGGCTCGTCTTGTGACTTTACTATGCACTGACCCCTTATCAGCTCCTTCACTACCCTTTCCCAGTAAATGTCTTGCTCAGTCATCTTTCCCAAATGCGCCAAAAGGAGCATTGACTAGTTCAAATCTTTCACGAGATAATTTCTCCTCCTGCGACTAGCTTAGCATGAGTAGCTGAATACGTGTCACTACCGTCACGTCATCAGAACTTGTCAAGTACCTGTATGGACTACAATCATGACTCGACGGCACAAGGATACCTGAGCCGTGTATTTGCCGCATACATGTAGTTCACCTCTATCATATCACATGTTTAATCCGAGCACTTGATACATACATCTTCATTATATACACAACCTAGTCAAGGTGTTCTGACTACGTACCCTCCAGCCTCAAACTCAGAGACTCAACTCCACAGACCACCAATTCTCACCCACCAACACGGAATCCAACATCTCACCCTCCTCAATGCCTCGATGGCCAAGAACAGCCTCTAGCAGAGGGAAACTTCTCTTTGCAGGGCCACCATGGAAAATCGTGACGAAGAACCGAATCCGCTTGCCCAGTTTCTCCACCTCATCTCTCGCCCAAGCAATGTAGCGCAGTTCTTGAAGTTCTGCGACATCTCCAGTGTCGTAGTACTCGTACTGGATTTCGACCGCCCAGTGCGTATACCTGTCCTTTGCCATTCTCTTGATGGCCCCAGCGAACTGGAAGCGACTTGGCCAGCGCAATCCATAGTGGACTGTAGCCTCTCGACGCATATCTCGGTTTTGACAAAGGTTTGGCGATGCGCGTGTATATAGCTTGAGAGCTTTGAACAGCTCCCAGCCGTACTGTCTGGTGCTCACCTTCACCGAGCTTCTGCCTTCTCGCTGCCTTCTCGCTGCCTTCTCTCGTTCTCGACAGGGTATTGAATGACGACCCGCATGAACGAGTTTAGTGTGCGTTTTGCGGTTCGGCTGAGTCGCTTTGTTACTTGGAGATCGACCTCCGCGGGAGTGAGTTCGGCGAATAGAGATTCAGCCTCTCGGCATATTGCTTTGCAGGCGAGGAGGAGGTTCGTAGACGATGGGTGTTGCTCCAGATGTCCTTGTAGATTGATGGAGCCGGGCGCGGAGGTGCTTTGTGCCGATCGGCGTGAAGAGTGTATGAAGCACATGTCAAGTGCGTAGTAGTAGATCCTGTTGCGGATTTCTCCAGGCAACTGGAACAGCGGACTCTGTGTTTGAGCGTGCATGGCTGAAGTGGTGTCATCGGAGAGCTTCGCCATCTTGATCGTCGATCTTGATGAGTGTCAGCTTGTGTGCGCGCATTACGAAGAGGCTGGTTTCTATAAACTGCATTTGAGTGAACCATAGCCTGATCGTAAACAGTATGTCCTACGTTAGCACAGAATAAATTAGTAGACATCGACTCCCACTACGCTACAGAACAAGTTCTGGCGTTCGTTGTCACAAACCAAAATCTGAACGCTTGACCGAAACGTAACGCAAATGAAAGAACGCTCGATTCATTAACTTGTTAGGGAGAGTAGTACTTACTGGTCTCGTAGCGGGTGTGACTGATCGAAAAAAATGAATACGCAGTACTGGAGATCAGAACAACAAGAGCGTTTGCGACTAGCGCGGTGTTACCAGATGGTTGCCTGGCAAACGGACGGGGACGCGTTGATGACGTTGACAAGACAACGTGGAAAATGAGCGATCAAACAAGGCTACTTAGTCTGAGAAGGAGACCTTGCAAAGAGCGGCGAGTATAATTTGAAGAAGGCGGCTGAGATATGACAGGATGACAATAACAGGGAAACTGCGTACTTACATCGTGTCCTTCTGGCTACGATTACCATCTTGGGAGCCAATCGCATTGAGCCTGTTGACTGAAGCATTGCCACGAGCATAAAAATCCTGGGTGAACCGCGATCTTGTGACTAGCTTTCGATCACCTGAAGAAGCAACATTCTCCTGTCGCGGTGAAGGCAGATTACCAGAACATCGACCCTGCGTTACATGTCTTTCTATTGCTCTTTTACTTGCTGCTGCCTACCTTCTCTTTCCCTACCACAACCTTATCGCCGCGAACCTCTTTTGCAGGCACTAGGGAAAACATGACCGAAAGCATGGAAACTGACTGTTCTGATAGACATCGAGCTGCATCGCCAGCACTGACGGACACCTCGGAGCTGACCACACTATCAAGATCTCCAAGCCCAATCCCTGAGTACAACGCCTACGCTTCTCCCAAGAAGTGCCAAGCCATTTCGAGCGCATCAGATGGGCAGGAGCAAGGTGGCTTCGGAGCCCTCGATAGGATCCCCATGGAGTTACGACAAGACATATACAGCCTCGCATTCGATATCGACGAGCCTGTCGTAGTCAAGGAGTGCTGCCACCCTGGAACAACCAAGCGGATGCTCGAGCTATGTCCCAAGCATGGCGCCAAGGCTAAATCTGGAGCAGGTCGTTTTAACATCCTCCAGGTCTCCAAAGCAATCAGAACGGAGGCAATGTGGGTCGTCTACGACAAAACCCCTCTTCTCCTCAACACTGAGGGCAGTATAAGCAGGTACTACACCACCCTCCCCCGCCCGCGTACTCTCCGCAAGGTCATCGGCTACAGGAAGCCTACTACATGCAAGAGCGCAATCTGGAAGACAGCCAACCAGTTCCGTACCACCAAGATCGACCTCTCGGAAGACCTGCTGCAATACGGCAATCCGTACGCCTTTATCGATCGTCTGGTATGCATCGTAACACTACTGTGCAAGGAGCAAGACAAGGACCACGTCGCTTCGAAATCTGTGCACCTTAACCTCGGCAGCTTCTTCCAGCAAATGCTCCCTTTCAACGAAAAATCCCAGCTAGATTCGCGGTATGGAGAGTATCTCGACTGGTTGTTCTTCCATTCCGACACCCACGAGCCTGACCACGACAAGCTCGCGAAAGGTATAGTACGCAGCCTGCAGCGACTGGTGGCTACGATCGGCAAGCACTCTGGCCGCGAGCAGTGGAAGATCTTCGTGAAGACTGATATTGCGGAGGAGGACGAGGGCGGTGCGAAGGCGCTGTTCGATTTCCAGGTCGCTTGCGCGGAGCAAGGTGTTGAGGTCTGTCCTTTGGAGAGCTAAATGCCCGGCTTCAGAAAGGGCGGACGATCATGAGTCTGGTACGGCGTCGGCGCGTTCGCGAAGGGTACGAGAGGTCGTATCATGGCAGATCGATTACGGGATTGCAAACGTCAGTATAGCACAAATGAACAAAAGCGTGATTTTCAGCTGCACGTTTTACTTGTACGAGTATACTTGGGCAAAACATGGCGAACCAATGCTTTGGATCGCGTGGTGTTGACGCGTATCTCGCAAGACTAGGTATCCAAGGAGAGATGACGCGACAACGCGGAGATATTACAAGACGCTAGTTACGTCATCCATCCGCCATGGACTCACTATCAGGGGTAATGACACCTGCGCAGCACCGTCCAAGTAGCAATTTCCGAGACACATAGAATTGTAGCTTCAGGAGTCTCAAGCAAGGCTACTTTGAAAGACCACAGCCTGCCTACCCCAAAAGGCTAAGCCTCTCAAACATCTTCACCACAGGCGCCTCCCTCTTCTTCCCAACCTCCTGCAAGCTATCCCAAAGCGTCGCATCCCCACCCGTAGGTTTCATCGCCTCGCCTTCAACTCCAATCGGTGCCCCGTTGGCAGCCTCAGGGCTTCCAACAGCCGCAGGTGGATACATCTCCTTGATAGCATCTTGACACCGTTCCATGACCTCGTTGACAGCGTTGGACACAGCATCAGCACGCTCCCTCATGCCCCGCCTAACCAAACCCTCAACAAGCCGCTGAATCTCTTCTTGCATGCTGTTGATGCGCTCGATGAGGCGTTCGATGGAGTTGGTGAGATACTCTTCTTCGTATACTGTGCCCTTTTTACCGCGCGCACGCTTCCTCTCTTCTCTCCGCTTGTTCTTGCTTGTCTTGCGCGTCGTTGTTGTGTTGACCGTGCCAGTCTGGTTTGTGTACCTGGTCATGAATGTGCCACCACTCGTTGTATCTGTGGGCGCCAAAGAGATATTGTCGGGGATATTGGCATCGGCAGGACCGTCGATCATACCCTCGTAGAAGGCCAGCGGATCCTCTGCTTTCTTGGCCCTAAGTTCCTTGAGTCGAGGTACTTGTGCTTGCAGTTGACCCTTCATGTCGGCGAGGAATTCTGTCATGTCTGCGCTGCGCTCAACGAGGCCGGGGTCGATGATTTCGGTGATGAGAGAGGGCTCGCGGCGGAGTGTGACGATGCGAATTGCTTCGGCGAAGTGGCAGCCTCGGCATAAGAGACGTGCCGCGGACGCAAGGTCGGAGAGGTAGTCGAGTGTTATTGATGAAGCTGACAGGTAGTCTTTGGATTCTGTGAGACCTTCTGCAAGATCTGTCGCAATGCTTGAGAGTTCATCCGCGCTTACATCGGCGAGAATGGCCGACGACAAAGCCTCACGCCAGAGGTTGGCTGAACGGTAGCATGGCCAAGCTGAGGCATGGTCGTTGAGGTATTCGTACGCCAATGCAGCTTCTTTGTTCTTGTTGTTGGCACTCAGGAAGTCTGCGTACAACCTCATGATTTCCTTCAGACGGGTGCTGTCGTATTGGTACATGCTCAAGGCTTCAGGGTAGAGATCGTGCTTTTGCACATAGTCTTGTACCTCATCGTAGGCTTGAAGATCTTTGAGATGCGTGAGCGCTTTCGCTCTTCGTCCGAGCTGGTCGTCGATCTTGAACTTGCGACGAGTTTCGGGCAGATCTTGCAGAGACTGCAGGTGTGGCAGATACTCTCGCGGATCCTATTGAGGGTCAGCTACTAATGCGACCCATGCATTCGATCAGCATACCTTTTGTGACTGTTGAGCGATGAGCAGGGCGAGGTCAAGGTTGTACAGTCCCAAAGATGTGTCGTATAGTTGGTTGACGTCTGCAAGGAAGCATATGTGTTCGGCGGCCTTATCAGTGAGGGGATCGCTAGATGCTGTGACATGTTAGAACTGCGGAAAACGCAAATGTATAAGACTCACCTTGTAGGCGACCTATCATAGCAAGACCTGTTTCTAGAGCTGGTGGTGTCTTGGAGACATGGGCTGTGATGATGTTTTGCAGGTGCGCGTCCTTATACTGAGACTTCTCTAATACGGCCAGGAAAGCGTCGCATATCCGGTTTACTTTGTTCTCAACTTGGTCTTGGGAGAGCTTTGGCTTCGTAGCCAGATCTTTCGTCTTCAATGTTTCCTTATACATGGTCTCCGACACGTCCTCGTTACTTAAACAGTTAGCAACCATCTCCTAAGATATGTGGTTAATCGCTTACCGGAGCTGCGCCAGGAGCAAGTCAATGTGTTCGATCTTCTTGATCTGTGAAATGATCTTTTCCAAGCTCGCCATGAACCGCTCCGGGTCGTGGTCATGAAGTATGTTCAGATCAACTCGCTGATTACGACAAGCAAAGAAGGCTTCATCGTAACGCTCTGCCTCGATGTGGCGACGGATAGCAGCAAGCACAAGCGCTCGCGGATAGATCGTCTCAAGATTACCTCTTGGCATCTGCAACACGACTGAGTATGTCGTTGGCATCACCGTCACGATCTTAGCTCCTCTCTCGATGCTTCTGCATCTCTCATCCTTTTGGGGTTCATCCGCGGGTACTTCGAGCTCTGGGTAATGTCAGAACATGCTCCCTGTTCTCATACCATAAGGCGGACTTACCATCTGCACTAGCGAGATGCACGAACTTGAGTAGATGTTGTGTCGTTGTGAAAATAAGATGCGCAGTAGTAACCACGAAAGAAGTGCAGTTGCGGACCAGAATGCGCTCATTGGCGTATAGCACTCCACTCTTTGTCAATCCAAATGCCAATGTCTGGCCGTGTTAGCCAGCTGATGCGACCTCGCGGAGAGTGTGTTTGCGTACCTGGCCTTCAACATTGATCACTTGAACCTCGGGCGCAAACGAAGGAAACTTATGCACAAAAGGCGTTAGGGGAGCACAATCCGATCTCAGCTCATCTACAACGACCTGATGTAAGGCACCATTCTGAAACTCGATGTACGGCGTTTCTTGATGAACGTTGGAAAGAAGTATGGACGCGTTCTCGGTCTCCATTATGTGTCCTTGAGGTAGTAACACATCGCCTTCGGACTGCCAGAGCGAGCTTTCCTCTTCGTCCCAGCTGTCTGATAGTACGAAGATCTGATCCTCACCAAAGAACGTGACGTGACGTGGTGAGCCATGACTTATCGCATCACTGCGCCAGATGAGACTAGGCTTGGGTATAGGCCGCTTGTTGAGATCGAGAGCGTATACGGCAAGGTCGACGTCGGAGAGCACTGCCAAGCGATTGCCAGATTTTGAAAGCGCTACGTCCATGGGTTTTGAGTCGAGAGCCAGAGTGTGAAGTGACATGGGAGGTGGCACATTCGCGATGCGAAGTGGTGTGAGTTTCAGGGATACTTGCAGTAATCAGTATCAGACAAATCACGCACATAGAGTGCATCACTCACATCCATCTATTGATGCGACCATGCCAAAATCGTTCGGCGGGGCGACTGAGCCAGCCGAGATTGTGGACGCGTACTCAAGCACTTGAAGCGCATCTGGACTGTACTTAGTCATATTAACCTCGTGTTGACGAGGGCCAACTTACCTGGAGTTGACAAAGCTACCACAAGCGGACGCTCAGCATGCCAGCTACATATGACTGTTCGAGGAGCGGCGTCCGGAAATCGAAGTTCTTGCTTGAGATAGTAGTGGTAGTTACTCATTGTCCAAAGTTGTACTTTGTCAGGATATGACACAGCTAAGACGTTGGAGTCGCTATTCCACTTGAGTGTTAACGGAATCGAGAGGGCTGCAAGCTCTTCCGGTGTAAATCGAAGATCGAACTGGCCGTGGCGAAGACCATTGCGCTCGAAGAATACCACTTCAATCTTATCTTTGGTGCGACGGGTACTCGCAATCAGATTACCCGATGGTCGCCAACTGAGAGCTCCTTCAAGGCCGTCCACGGGCTCGCTCACACTGTCCAGCTGTCCTTCCCGGGAGTAGACACGGATCATGCGACGGCGTTCTTCCTCGACCTTGCTTACTGCAAACCATGCGCCGTCACCTCTCCAGCTTATCGTGACAGAGCGATCGTCGAATGGGCTCAGTACACCCTCGTCGATACTTTCTGGCACTGTTGGATCTTGCAGTGCTCTGGCTCGTTTGCCCTTGAACTGTGTCTCTTTCTTTCCCCACCCCACAGAGACATGACTGGAGACGTTGACATCTTCGGGAGTGAGATTGATACTCGCAATGTTTTCGATATCGCGGCTCATCAATAGTAAAGTGTCCGCCTGTGTGGTGATGGCGAGAAGTTCTTCATCTGGTGACCACGCCGCAGCAGAGATACCGGCATCGACTGAGCCCACGATCTCAACTAGCTCTTCTGTAGATGATGGGTCCTCTCGCACGAGCACGATGTCTCCTCCGGCCAAAATTAAACATGATGTCGAAGTGTCGGCGAAATGGTGCAGGCTCAAGATTGAGTCATGGGTAAGCGAGGGCAGCGGGCACGGCGCATCCCACGATGCGATGCTTTCAAGCTTTTCCTCGACGCCGTTGCGAGTATGATGCAGTCTCTTGAGTTCGATAGTCGCACGTGATTCCGAAGGGCCGAAGGCGCATACCAGCGCATTTGATGCGGCGTCCCATGCAGTCGCCGTTAACGGTAGTGGCTCGTCTCCGGAAAATCGCAGGAGCGACCTGCCTACTATCTTTAGATTTCGCATTGCCGAAGGATCATGGACTGTGTTCGTGGCAATGTTGCGTCCTGTTGCTCGAATGACTGGTCACTAGCCCCGTTGGCAGAATCGCGCTTCCGAATTTTTGGTGATGCTAGCGCCGAGCTTCTACCGAAGGGTAACGCAACGCATCTCATCGTCATCAAGGTGTTGCAATTGAACCACGTTCGCTCACCGTCCATCCCCTGGTTCGCATTTGCTCAGAAAATGCTACTTCTCAATAGTGCTGGTTCATGGTAGAGGAGAATTGCAGAACCTCGTTTCGAAGTTAAAGAGACGGCTCTTGCCCACCGAGGTATC